CGATCACGAGAGAGAACTTTCGATTAAGGCTAGTCGTCAATCAGATACGTATATAATACGTGTTATCTGGCATATAGTAGCAGCATAGGATTTGGATATTTGAAATGTTTGGAGGTTTGGAAATTGATTGAAAATTGGGAATTGAGTTTGAATTTGGGTATTTGGAAATGTTTGGAAAGTTTAGAAAATTAATATTTAAAACAGAAATTGCACCATCTTGAACTTAAAGCGGATGGTGGGGGAATGGATGATAGACCCGATCAAGATCCTATGGTTCCGTCGTCCCGGGCCATCGTGGTTCCTGGTCTACTTAGTCAGAGGAGGTAGTCGACCCAACCTGACAGAAGGATCCTTGTCGGCAGCCATGGGTTGCTTCGTCCAAGGGGATTTGAGTCCTATGCTGCTAGTATATGCCAGATAACACGTATTATATACGTATCTGATTGACGACTAGCCTTAATCAAAAGTTCTCTCTCATGATCAGGAGGGGAAATTAACTATAGGGGCTTACGCCTATAGGAAACCAGAACTCAGATCATAAAGTCCTCGCAAAATGAGGGTGAAATCTCTGTATAGTGTCTTATCTACAAATTCATATGCCTTCCAAAAATTACCCCAGAACTTAAATTCGTTAAAACACCCCCCCCGAAAGAAAAGCAAGTGGGCGGAGGTCGGGATTGAATTTTCGGAGCCCATTCCCACTCACCGTTAGCATTCACTTTGCTCAACCTATTAATTCATTACTTTATTGTTTCGAATAAACCGACTATTTGGGTATTACATAATCAAATCTTATTTATGAAAAGATCCCCACTAATTAAATTACATTCCTAATTGATTATATTGATGATATTATCTTAACTGGTAATGATGATGAAGAAATTAGGCAGCTCTAGCAGATTTTAATAAAAAAATTTAAATTAAAGATCTAATATCTTATATTATATATTAGTATGAAAATCGTAAGAGTATGGAGAAAATGGGATGTTAGGATGCAAACTTGTAAATACTCCATTGATCATTTCAACAAAATAAGAACAAATGGTAATTCTCTATAAGCTGACAAAGAAAGTATCATCATTTAGTTGAAAATTTTATTTACCTCTCCATTACTCATCCTGATATATGTTATTTAGTTATTGTGATTTGTTGATTTATGAATACTTCCATTACCTGACATCTTGATATAGTCCACAGGATACTAAGATACCTAGAAAGGACTCTTGGGAAGGAAATCAATATAAAAATTTTTAGTGATGCTAATTGGGTGGGTCCATAACTTATCGGAAATTTACATCTAGCTATTGTTCATTCATATGGGGAAATCTTGTTGGCTGAAGTAAAAATAGACAGTAGTTGATAGAAATAGTATTTAAGCTGAATTGGGGGTCATGGCTCATGAAATTTATGAAGGAAGGTAGTTTTAAAAATTATTAGAAGATCTAAACATCCACATTATGTATATGACAAGCTACACTTAACATTGCAAAAAGATCTATTCCACTATGATAATACTATGCAATGTTAATCGATAGACATTTTATATAAAAAAAATGATTGTTGACCTCTAACTGCAAAACCGACACCACTAACACATGATCTCACAACTGCCCACTACCCCACTCACACATGATCTTACAACCGCCCAACACCCTACTCACACATGATCTCACAACTGCCCACTACCCCACTCACACATGATCTCACAACCGCTCACTACCCCTCTCCAAATTCTTGAGGTATGGGAATCATTGTAGGAATGAGTGATTTAGATTCACTATGGTGGCCTAACTCGAAGTGGTGTAATCTACAGGTGGAATGGGATGAACCCAGTTATGATGAGAAACCATATAGGGCTTTAGATTATATAAGCAGGGATTTATATATCTTATGATCAAAACTTAATTCAGAATGTCGAATGAAGAAGGTAATCAGACAACAAAGTTCTCTTCTTGGAAGTGAATTTGGATGCCACCAATTAGTCTTTGCAACTATTTTATATTACAAAAAAAAAAAATCAATGCTAGTAGCTTCCCTACAACCTCATTGTCAACTTTACCAACTCTCACAGCAAAACAATTGAAGCTCGAAGACTTATGCTGGGATCAGCCAACGTTCTGAAGCCCCTCAGCTATTGAATCTTATCCGCTTGGGCGGATTTGAAAGGGAAAATGCCCTCCCCAACCTCCTCTCGCGGGGAGGGAGCGCTGAAAGGCTGTCAGATTTTCAAGAGGAATGAAAAATGAGTATTTTAAAATAAAAAATTAACAGGTCTTGTGACAAGAATCGTCGAAGACCTATTCTCGGACCAACCAGTGTTCCGAAGCCCTCGGCCGTCGAATCCTATCCTGCTGGGCTGATTTAAATAGGCAAGTGCCCTCCCTACTTCTCGTTGTGGGGGGGACGAGACGTCGAAAGGTTGACGAAATTCAAACTAATGATGTACAATTTTTAAGTCAGCTCTGAACCACTTAACATTGTAATTTAAACCAATACATTTAGTAACTCAAATAAAATAGAGTTTAAAGGATTTAATCAGAACAAGTTATATTCAGTTATTCTTTTTTTTTTTTCTTTTTCTTTTTTTGGGTAGAGAGAACAAAAAAAAAATCCATCTTCTGGTTGGTTAGCTACTTCTGTTTGGGTAGGTGATATTCGATTTAATGTAATGCATAGCATAATGACTGTTTACTGTCACTTCCATTTAAATAACTGATGTATTAAAAAAAAATTATATATAATATCATCATTGTATTTGATTTTGTATATTAAAGTTTTCTTCATGTAATGTTCTTATAACTTGTTGGCTGATTACTCAGATTTGGACTAGCACTCTTCAGCGCACAATAATAACTGCAACTCCAATTGTCGGATTCCCCAAGGTCATACTGATGATATTTTAGTTCTACTAAGTTCCTCAAATTTTTAGTTCATGCATATCCTTATCAAATATTAAAGTTCATTTATCTGAATTGAATATAAATGGTATAGTACAAACTCACATGGAGTGATGGAGCCATGTGAAATACTTAATTGGAATTTTTTTAATAAATAAATTAAAAATAAAAGAATATAAACGGTATAGTAAAATTGCTACTTATACCTGCAGGTGCAATGGCGTGCCCTTGATGAAATAAATGCAGGGGTATGTGATGGAATGGCATACGAAGAAATAAAGAGGAACATGCCTGAGGAATATCAGTATGTACTCTTTCATAATTTTTAATATACATAACGAAGGACATTTATGTATCGTGTTAGTTTTGAAGCCCTAAAAATCTGCACAAACTTTGAAGTTATCATGTTCAGTTTATATCGGCCAAGCATATCATTTTGTTTTTAGGTGTTTTCACTAAGATTGGCGAAGCAGTTTATTCCCTGAGTCATGATCCATCTAGTAGGTTATTTAATGAGGTTACTCTCTCTGTTGGAATTCATGCCTGAATAAAATGAGATTTTTATTAAAAACTGGAGGAAAAAAAAGGCATAGAAGTACAATTTATATTTCAGGTTTATTATTATAGTATTTATTCGGCAGCATGGAAGATGCAATCTTCCATAGGAGCTAACCAATCTTGATGCTTACTGTAAATTACCAAAATTGTTACCAAGCTCCAGCAAGCTCTAAACTCATTGATAAAAATATAGTATTCATAATATTAGAGTACAAGCTAATTTGTAGGTCATTTAACTTTCAACTGGTAAGTTTATGTAGATTAAAATGACATTGAATGGAGATGCAACAGGTTGTTGCAATTGTACAATGATCTTGAATTTTGCCTTTTTAAGTTCCATCAGCCGGCAGACACTTTAGAAAACAAATAGAAACAACTAACCACTAGTGCCAATTTAAAGAGAAGTAGAAATTTTGTTTTTTTCCCATGCTTGAATATTAAGATAAAACATGCTCATATATCTATTATGATTTATTACTCCTTATTTTAAAAGAAATAAATATAATTTAAAAAATATATTAATATGGCCCATTAATCATTAGATAAATAACTTTTTCAGGGAAAAAGTGAGTGTCATGCTCAATCATTTTCATTGATCATAAAATTTTATATTTATTTATTTTTAGTAAACAATAAAAAAATAGTAGCCAAATAAATGTGCAGTTACTATTTAAAAAACAAAGAACAAGAAAGTTGTCTCAAACAGATCATAAGTCTCTAGTGGTACTTTTAGTTGACTTGTTGCATCACATCTCAGTAAAAATTAACTGAAAGGTTGACTTGTGCAGATCTCGTAAAAATGACAAGCTGAGATATCGATATCCTCGTGGTGAATCTTATCTTGATGTCATTCAAAGGTCATATGTTATAAAACTTTTTGTTGGGAATGCATTTACATTCCTTTTTTTTTCAAGTACAATTGCATTTGCATTCTACTTGGTTCACAATCCCTTAAGTTTTACTTTTATTATGTTCAGGTTAGAACCTGTAATTATTGAGCTTGAGCGACAGCGTGCCCCCGTAGTTGTTATTTCTCATCAGGTATACGTGATCTGATGTCTTTTTGGTTTTTAGTTCATTGTCTTTTTAAGGAGGTTTTAGAAGCTTTTCTGCTGCTTTGCCTTGTGCATGTGTGTGTGCAGGCTGTCTTGAGGGCTTTGTATGCTTATTTTGCCGACAAGCCTTTGAAAGAAATTCCCCATATTGAGGCAAGCCTTAAACACACTACTAATGTTTTCTAGTTTGCCTTGAATAGGCTTGAGGCTTAGTTGTTTCTTCATAATATTGTTTATAGGTCCCTCTCCATACCATAATAGAGATTCAGATGGGGGTTACTGGTGTCCAGGAAAAACGATACAAGCTTATGGATTAAATCATGCTCAACATTTTATGCATTACCAAATGATATAGGAAGATAACACAAATCATTGTCTGTTCGGACAGATATAGGTTGTAATAAATTCAATTTCCAACATTTTTCATCAACAACAATATATCAAATTCCCATTATATTGTCTCAATAATCTGTTCACTTTTTCATTGAAGTTCCCTTTCAATGCGTGAATGTCCCCTCATACGCTGTTATGCAAAGTAGCATAGCATACATGTATCATTCATTAAAGAGAGAGAGAACAGTTTAATGTCAGTAGCTATCTAACAAATTATTTTTCAAAATTTTTGTCGTTTATGCTGAGTTCTATGTAATTGGGTTTATAACAGAAATGCTTTTCGACTGGAACTTTTCTTATGTAAATGTTAGGATTTACCGTTTGAAATCTACCGAGGGGCTGATTAAGGCTTCATTTGAGACAGCTTTTTTACTGTTTCTTAATACAACTTTTTAGTTAAAAATTTAAAATATTTATACTAGAAAATTGTTTTAAGGAGCAGTAAGAAAGTCATCACAAACGAAGCATAAACTGCTAGTTTCTTTTTTGTCTTATAGCTTTTCAGCATATGATAGGGCTGTCAATTCGGGTTGTCGGGTCGGGTTCGGGTCGAACCCGAACTGACCCGAAGTTAAATGGGTTGACCTTAACCCGACTCGTTTAGCTATACGGGTCCATTTGCTGAACCTGGACCCGACCCGGGTTTTTCAAAGAGTCGGGTCAACTCGACCCGCCAATCTGAAAGTTAAAAAAAAAAAAAAAAAAAAAAAAATATTTAAAAAATTAAACAAAGATATTTAGTAAATTAAAAAAAAAATTCAAAAAACAATGAAACAAATAAACAATAAATGAATACAAAAAAAATATGATTAATTCAACAATCAGCACATCACAAGAGCAATAGTAGTTCATTACTTTTTCAAAATCTAACCTGTAAGAAAACAAAAAATTTTATTTCTATAATACAAATTACAAGATACATTACAAATTATAAATTTACAATCTACAAATACAATAAATCACTAATACAAATTACAGTTGATGTTGCTCAAGCTTCTTTGTCATTCACTAACTCATCTAATTTGAATTCTGATATCTGATTAATCTGAAATTTTGAACGACTGAACCTGTATGGCTGCAACAAAAATTAAGTAAAAGACACAAGCTGAAGGAGTGAACTAGCCAAGGTCCTCACTAGTCACTCCTCAGACTTAAGGCTGCTTTAGGGCCTTTGGCTCAGGATGAACCTAGTGAAAATTGAAGCATCATTTGCTAGTCTGCAACAATTTTTAAATTTTGCCCTCCAAGATTACAAATTGAGCATACAGATTTTATAATTTTAGTATCTATTCAGTGAAGTAGTATATGCTCAAATAAAAAAAAATCTGATTTCCTCAATTTATAAACTGGTTGCAAAACATTTGTATTTATGTATTGTCACTGATCAGTGATCTATAAATTCACAAGGTTCTTCATCATTGCCATATTATAATAATAAATGAACATCAAAAAAATTTCAGGTAACCATCAATATGCACTGTTGCAGGCTTGAAGACAAATAACAAAATACAAATATGCAAGCTGCAGTCTGCTGCCGACGAGAACGGCACCAACAACCAACACTCCAACAGGCAACAGGCCAACAAAGGCAACAATCCAGATTCCACTCATTCCAGCATAAGTACATAACCAATTAACCATAAGAATTCAGGATTCAGGTCTCAAAGGCCAACATAAATACAAACCTTTTCATATGAATATTAGAACATGAGTAAAACGTTAAACAACATCAAGATTCAGGCATCATAATTCAGGCATCAAATTAATCAAAAAAAAAGGGAAGCCAGAGTTCCAGAAGCAGCTGCTGCTGTGCTGGCTGCTGCACAAAGCACAACACCCAGGCCCCAGCCAGCCAGAAACAATAGTTTTTAAACTCCTTAATTTCCAGCATCATTCACATTGCCCATTTGATTTCCCTCCACACCATAGCCAATAATGTTTTCTGTCACATCATCGAGGTCCGTGTCTTTTATATCTATTAACAAAACAACTATTTAGTTGAAATATAAATTTTTGTGCAAACCAATGCTTCTACAATATCATGTTACATACTCGTGTTGTGTGTACTATGACAAATAAATTACCTTGGTCACTGAACAACCAATCCTTTGTGCAAACCAATGCTTCTACAATATCATGTTTCAATGCACTTCTATATTGGTCTACAAGTCTACCCCCATTGCTAAAAGCACTTTCCGATGCAACAGTAGAGATTGAAATGCATAAAACATCACGAGCCATTCTTGCGACTTGAGGAAATCTGAATTGATTTACTTTCCAATATTGCAAAATGTCTAACTCACTATTCCTATCCATTTTTGTTTCATCCAAATACATTTCAAGCTCTGATTTTCTTGGCAAAGTTACCTCCACCTTGAAGGAATCATAATGATGTATATAGAAATAATTATGTTTGATAACTTGGCAAATGACAAATGACATAAGAAAATATATTAATGGAATGTAAAATGCCATATTATAGTTATACCTGCAGAAATTGTGATTTAATGATTGTAGTTGACTGACTACTAGATGGAGTTTGTCGTGAACTTGAAGTTTGAGATGATTGAGATACATTTGTTGTTGATGGTTGGTCTTGTATGATTGAATAGGATGAATAAAGTGTGAACAACTTATCCTTAACCTTCACAATTTCAGATTCATAATGACCAGAGTAAAGTCTCTTGTAGCACAACTCAACAAAGTTAAACTTATACCTTGGATCTAGAATCACTGCAACTGCTAGAATAACACTGAAGTCCGACCAATACTTTTCAAACTTAGCAAGCATTCCAACAGTCATTCTCCTAATATACTCATCCCCACAAGACATTTCATGTTTTAATGTGGCATATGCAGTTGATACACATGGAAAATACAAATTAGCAGTTGGATACTTTGTACCGGAGAAAGCACAAGTAATTTCATAAAAAGGAGCTAAAAAATTGCATATTCTAACCATTTTCTCCCACTCACTATTTGATGGGCAAGACTTGTAGTTGGAATCACTCAACTCCAAATGCATAAAAGCACGCCTGAAGTATATTGCACTATCTAGCATAATGAAAGTAGAATTCCATCTAGTTGGTACGTCTTGCCTCAAACCTCTACTAGTTTCAAGCAAACTTTGTCATACACATTCCATAAACTATTGTTTTCTTGATTGAGAGCCTTTTACATATTTAATGCTCTCCCGAACCTTCATCACAGAGGAATCTATATCCTTCAAACCATCCTGCACAATAAGATTTACTATATGTGCGCAACATCGCATATAGAAGAATTCACCATTGCATATAAGTGGATTTTGTAAATTCAAATGATTTCTTAAAAAATCAACTGAGACAGTATTCGCTGAAGCATTATATAGAGTAATACTGAAAAGCTTACTATCAAGTTTCCAATCAATCAAAAGCTGTTGAAGTTTCTCAAATAATGCTAAGCCATCATGAGGGGGAGGCATATAATCAAAACTTATAATCTTCTTTTGTAACCGCCAGTTATTGTCAATGAAATGTGCAGTTAAGCAAATAAAACCATCAGTGTTAATGGAAGTCCACAAATCAGAAGTAAGAGAAACTCTACTCTTACAACTATATAGAAGGGCTTGTATCTGTGCTTTCTCCTTAATGAACATTTTCTTACAGTCATTTCGTGCTGTATTTCTTGATACAATTTGTAAATCTGGACGCAAGTATCGAAGTAATGATCTTAGACCAGACCATTCCACACACTGAAAAGGTAGGTCATGCTTAACTATACATGCAGTAAACAAGTTACGAAATTCATGATAATCAAACTTATTTTCAACCATAGAAATAGAAGTGCTTGTGTTACTTTGAAGAATAAGTTGACCAATATCATGAGAGTCCCGCTTCTTACAGTTTTGAATGTGACGTCTCATATTACCTGTACCATTTTTACTATCAGACAAGTAAGTTGCCCCACATTTCTTACATTTGCAACGTTGTTTGCCATCATTACCAACTGGCAACATTTCATAATGTCCCCAAACAGTAGAGGTCAACCTCCTCTTCTTTTTTTTATTATTTTCCTCATTTCTAACTGCATTATCACCAACCTCACCCACATTCACATTGTTATACTCATCACTATCACATTCTACGTCATTATCAATATGCTCTTGCTCATTTTGCTCGACAGGATTAATGTCAACAATTGTATTTGAACCATCCATCTAAACACAAAAAATGCACATACTTACGAAATTTTAAAGAAAAAAAACTAACAATGCTGCATCAAAAAATATTGCAGATTTGTAGTATAAAATTTAAATAGTACTAGCATAATAGAATTCCAGAATCCAGAACTAGCACATGATTTGTTTTCCAGGACAATTAAAAAATTCCATAACCACTGTTTTTATAAGCTCATAAGCTGAACAACTACTCACTAGTCAGCAACATGACAACATAATTAAGACCAACAGGCAGCAGGAAACAGGCAACAAACAACAGTCCAAAACTCCAAGTGTCCAACAAGGCAGCAAGGCAACAATCCAACATAACAATTTAATAAGTCTGAATTCTGAAATCACAAATTCAAAACAACAATTTCTATTTGTGTATTGTGTAATCACTGTAAATCTGTAATGGCAAAAGATAAATGACAACCAATTTTCCATTTTTCCCAAGTCCCGACCCGCAAACACCAGACTCCAGACGGCATGCCGACATGGCGACATATGTCACATATCCGGATATCCCATATGAGAATAAAGAGATGTCAAAAGAATATGATTCTAGACACTAGACAGTGAAAAAAACTGCGATAAAGTGTGAAATAAAGTCAAAAACACTAACAGTAAACCCTAATCCACAAAAACAGCAAACCCTAACTTCACTTTCAAATCCAACGAGGAGTAAGAATAGTAGATCAGTCGATCAGAATCCAAAACGGCAAAACTCAGCAAAATGCCAAAAAACTTCTAAAAAACAAAACCAAAGTTCACTGATTACAGTCTTAGAGACCAAGGAGGCAAGGATGAATTGGAGAGTTGGAGTCTTGGAGGATATCCGAACTCAGCAAATTCCAAAGGTGCGAACTGCGAACGGCCTGGAGGAAGGAAAGAAGCGAGACTGCGAGAGAATCAGAGATAGAGATTAGAGAAAGTGAGAAACCCTAACTCAGAAATCCCTTAAACCGAAACGACAGCCCTCCGCACTTAGACGCTTCACGCTTCGACGGCTTGAGTCTCAGGATAAC